CGAGGAAGTGGCTTATACTGAGTCACAAAACGTCAGAAAATCTAATTTTTCTACTCATTGGGATATCCCTAAATATATTTATTTACTGTATGGTTATCAGATTTTACTGAGATATTCTTTCATTTTGTGCCTACATACATTCAATTGTCCCTAATCATGTTCTCATTCACTACAACCTAATAAAAATATTTTCAAGAGCTTATTTATTTACACATACTTTAGTATATAATCAACAATATAATAAGATGAAATATAATCCTCTTCAATACTGTTTAGGTAAATAAAACTAATTCTCTTTATTTTATATTATTAGAAGATCAAAGATCTTGAGTTCGAATCCCATCAATTGAACAGTTTTACATACTAACACAAAAATAATTATCAGAAGGGGTTTTGTGGAGATTTGGTATTTTTTTCATAGTAGAAAGCATGAGTCAATTGAAGCTAGATCACCATGGAAAACTTGGAAACACTGGACGGCCGTTTCGTCTTATTATGGGACTCCTCAGCAGTGACTCATGCTTTATACTATGACAAAAATGATTATTCATTACTTTTCATGTTTTTCTATTGGTAGTTTAATTTAAATATTTTTTAAAAAAAATATTGATATTGATTATGATTGGTTGGTTTATAAATACGCCAATAAAATATTGATCAGATTTATGATTGGCTATTTATAATATTGAATTATTATAACCTTGAATATTATTTATTTGGGGGGAAAATTTGAAATGAATGAATCAAAAAAAATATAGATCAATCATTCAATGAGTTGTCAACCGCAACAACAACAACAACAACAATCACAACCACAACCACCACCACCACCACAACAACAACAACAACAAAAATTAAATTATTTTCATTTTCATAAACCATTACATGGAAAAATAGCTAAAACAAGTGCATTATGTTATACATGGATCTCATTAGTAAGTTAAATAAAGTTTATTGTATTGTTATTATGATATATGAATAAGTTTTATATTGGATATAGAAAGTTTTCATCGTTTAAATTAGAATAACATTTGTAAATATATTCATCATTGATAAACCAAGGAGGAGGATTGGATGTAGATGTAAAGGTGAGGATTCGCAAAGCAAGGGCAACATTTGGAACGTATGGAACATAAGACAACTATCAACTAATTTCAAAGTGAGAATCTTCAATACGAATGTCAAGACAGTTAGTTCTACTGTATGGAGCTGAAACGTGGAGAACTACTACATCCATCATCAAGAAGGTACAAGTATTTATAAACAGTTGTCTACGCAAAATACTCAACATTCACTGACCAAATACTATCAGTAACAGTGTTTTATGGGAGAGGACAAACCAGTTTCCAGCTGAGGAGGAGATTAGGAAAAGACGTTTGAAGTGGATAGACATACACTAAGGAAATCACAAAACAGCATCACGAGGCAATCCCTAACTTGAAATCCTGAAAGGAAGCGGAAAAGAGGGAGGCTAAAGAACATATTACGTGAGGAAATAGAAGCAGATATGAAACGAATGAATGTTAACTGAAAAGAACTGGAAAAGATTGTCCAGGATAGGGTTCAATGGAGAATGCTGGTGAGCGGCCTATGCTCCTCGACAAGGGGTAACAGGCGTAAGTAAGTAAAAGTACTAGTGAATACATTAGATTGTGAGATGATGGAAAGGTTTGTAGCTTAAGTGGATGATTTTGATGGAGTTTTGTTCTATAAACTGGATAGTTTGATTGTGAAGTTTTCATTGTTCTTCTAAACGATATCATTAGTACAAACTTCTGGTAGAAGTGAAGTGTTCAAACTCCTACACATGTGATTCACAGCTTATGTTGTTGATCGGTTCTTGTTGATCATGAATCTATCATTGATTGTATCTTCCATTGATTTGATTTTGGTTCTTATGTATGTGCATAATTTTCCTGATTGACTGATAAATTGGATTGATTTGAATGTACTTATTTTCAATTAGATCTTCAAGAATTTTTACTCTAATATATATAGGAATATGTAAATAGATATATGGAAATATTTCATTAGGATCATTGATCCATATATTGCATAAAGCTTGGTAAAGATCTACTTGGAAACGATATTGTTCACTTATATATGTTGTTTTAATTGCCTTGGCTACTAAATTAATAACAGTGAATCATGTTTCTTGACAATGTTTAAAATAGATAAAATAACTTCATAACATCGATGATTACTTACTTACTTACACCTGTTACCCCTCGTTGAGGAGCATAGGCCGAACATCGATGATTGAAGAGTATTAATGATACAATTTATTATGTCATTCAAATGCCTTACAACATTTTGAATAGAATGATTTTGGGATACCTAACGGCTCAGTTAAATAACTTTCCATTAATAACTACAACTACCAGCGTTTTTTCAGTCAGTTAGTTTTCTATGGAATGGGGTCGCTAACCTCATGCCCAACCCTCCTCCTTTATCCGGGCTGGAGAGACTGGCAATAGCCTCTGGAGGTCCTACAGGTGGAGTTTAATATTATTTGAACTTTTGGTTAAAATTATTATGGTAAACCAGATGATATACAATAATATATCTGAAGGGGTTTTGTGGAGATTTAGTATTTTCATAGTTGAAAGCGTGAGTCAATTGAAGCAGTGACCAGTGGATTTCAAAACAGATCTGCTGGGAGATATCAACTCACTGAAGACAATCGGTGAACGGTTGCTCAACTTCGTGGATTAGTTACAGTTAGACATAAACACCATCGGATGCCGGCTCAATGGTCTATCGGTTAAGTGTTCTGGCGCAAGACTGGTGGGTCCTGGGTTCGAATCTCGCTCGCGAGGCGGGATCGTGTGTGCGCACTGCTGAGGAGTCCCACAATAGGACAAAATGGCCATCAAGTGCTACCAGCTTTTCTAGCTTCAAATGACTCATGATTTCAACCATGAAAACACTGAAATCTCCACAATACCTCTTCTGATCTATTAATTAATCGTTTATTTTCATGTATATTGAGAAGAAATAATCAAACCGGCATTTAACATTTCGACAGTTTATTATTCATCGTTATATGCAGTAGTAATCTAGATGACTTTTGAATCAATAAAAACTTTCATTTAAAATGATCTTCTTTCTACACATTCTTATTGAATCGTTTAAAGATCTCCCATCATATTCAAAGACTAATATTTGAAAGAAGAATATTCTTTTAAATCAATTCTCTTCAGCTTCTACAATTCATATATCTTAATTAATAATCCGAAAAAATGGCCAGGTTGAAGGCAAAGTACATCGTCTAAAGTTAAAACATGTAAATTTAAACTACGTCTGTAGCTCTTCTAGAGTTACTGCCAGTCCCAAGCTCACACAAAGGAGGAGGGTTGAACATGGGGTTAGTGACTCCATTCCGTAGAAAACTAACCCCCTAAAAAACGTTAACCATAAAAAAATTATTCAAACCATTTTGCCTTGAAAGTAAGAAAGTCTTCATTTAGAAGAGTTATAACGTCTCATGATGAAAGCCGCGTTCCTTCGGAAGTCACGAGGCCGATGCTTCTTCTAAGAACCAGAGTAACCATTTATCTAGGTACATGGAATGCTCGTACAATGTGGGAGACCGAGAGAGTCATCTAAGTTGCTGCAGAAATGCAAAGATACAACCTGGAGGTGCTTGGGATCAGTTAAATCATTAAATGCAGGTTGAACAACGATTATTTTTAGGGGAGCTTTTGTTATACTCCGTCCATGAAGAAGAAAATGTCCCACATACACAAGGAATTGCATTGATGCTGTCCAAAAAAACACAAAATGTACTTATAGTATGGGAATTTCATGGACCAAGGATCATCAAAGCCTCCTTCAAAACAAAGAGAGAGGGCATTACAATGAATGTCATCCAATGCTATGCGCCTACCATCGACTACGATGGAGACGCTAAAGACCAATTCTACGATAGACTGCAGTCGATCTTCGAGAAGTGCTCAACAAATGACCTGACCTGATGGGAGATTTAAATGCCAAAGTTGGAATGGACAACACTGGATATGAAAACATCATGGGACGACATGGAATGACTGGGAGAAAGAAACGAAAATAGTGGGAGATTCGCAAACCTATGTGCCTTCAATAAACTGTTAATAGGCGGTACCATATTCCACATAAAGGCATACACAAAGCATCATGGACGTCTTCGGATCACACTACACAGAACTAAATCGACCATATCTGCATGTACACAAAGTTCAGGAGAGCGATGAAAGATGTGTGATCCAGGGGAGGAGCTGATATAGTCTCACATAATCATTTGCTGGTCGTCAAGATGAGACTGAAACTCAAAAAGCATTGGACAATGGGACGGATAATATCACAAAAGTTTAATACGGCTTTTCTTCGAGATACTGACAAACTCAACAAATTCAAGATAACCCTCAGCAACAGATTTCAGGCCTTTCACGATCTACTCAATGGAGAGGGAACTACCATGGAGAACAATGGGAAAGGGGTAAAGAAGGCAATCATTTCAACATGTCAGGAGGATCTAGGCAACAAAAATCATCACCACAAGGAATGGATCACTGTTGATACACTGGATAACAAAGGAGGAACAAGAAGGCAGCAATCAATATCAGCCGAACAAGAGCAGAAAAAGCCAAGGCACAAGCCGAACACATAGAAGTAGAAAAGAAAGTGAAGAGAAGCCTCAGAACCGACAAACGTGTAATAGGCTGCAAGAGAAGGGAAAATGAGACAACTGTATGATGTAATAAAAAAAACTCGCTGGAAATTAACGTAAACCAGAACGACCAGTGAGAAGCAAGTAAGGCATGGTCATCTCCAACATTGAAGAACAGACAAATAGAAGGGGTGGAACAACTTGAGGAACTCTTAAATCGATCTACCCCAATGAACCCACCCGACATCAAAGCAACACCCAAAGACCTCACAAGCGATCTTGGATCACCAACAATTGAAGAGATTAGCATGGCCATCAGACAAATCAAGAGCGGCAAAGCAGCAGAATCAGACAACATTCCAGCAGAGGCACTGAATGCAGATGCAACAGAACCTGCAAAGATATTACGTATTCTTTTTAGTAAGATTTGCGATGACGAACAATTGCCGCTGACAGACTGAAAAGGACATTTGATCAAAATAGCAAAGAAAGGCGGAGGAAGAAATGAGTAAGAAGCACTGGAAATTGATAGGACACACATTGAGGAAATCACCCAACTGCGTCACATGACAAGCCGTCACATGGAATCCTGAAAGTCAAAGGAGTACAGGAAGACCAAAGAACACATTAGACCGAGAAATGGAGACAGATATAAGAAGAGTGAACAAAAGTTGAATAGAACTAGAAAGGTAGGCGCATGACTGAGTGTGCATGTGTTGTAGAATGCTGGTCGTCGGCTTATGTTCCATTGGGATTAACAGGCGTAAGGAATTAAGTAAGTAATAATGATCATGATGATCATAATAATACAAAGATTTATCAATAAAGATAAAAAAGACAATTTCATTTAACAACAAAAGGTCGTAAGTACAATAATCAAATTAGGTCATTCAATAACTAAGATTACTTCTAATTCATTGATCTTGAAGTTGGCCAATTGAGGAGAAGCGGTTCAAGATATTCATCTTTTAAAATTGAATAATTTGAAATGTAATTTAAGAGATTAGCAAAATTTGTAGGTCAACAAATGATCATCAAATAACAACACATCACCACCACCAACAATAACAAAAAAAAAAGATTGATCCATTTATTTGGATTCGATAATCTAGCAAATACCATGTGATCAAAGAAGATAATATCATTTTATTGATTATAGTATACTCTGATTACATCTAGTTTATACAAAGAGCCAAATATATATATTACGTAATTGTTCGTGCCTTAGTGATTAATAATTTCAACAACAACAAAAACTTATCTTCGGGTAAGTTAAATGTCAAAGAATATTAATCTCTACCCGTAGCTCCTCCGAAGATTATAGCCAGTGCCAAGCTAACACAAAGTAGGAGTGTTAGTCATGAGGTTAGCGATCCCATCCTGTAGAAAAACTAACTCATTAAAAGAAAAACATTAACCAGACAAACAAAAAAAGTACATTTACAAACATATGAATAGTAGATTCCATTCATTAGATCTTTTTCATATGTCTATTATGTTTGTCTAGTAAGTTAAGTATCTGGTGATTAGATTGATTTCTTATCATCCAGATGAGGTGAATAAAGAGAGAGAGAGAGAGAGAGAGAGAGAGAGAGAGATTATGAATCTATAGATGAATCAATAAAATGAAAGAAAGCAAAATTATGATTTTTGTCACGAAATACATTTTTGAAATGATAACTGATGGTTAATTCGTGACGATATATCAGCACTTGAAGTTATGACACTTTATATCTTAATCCGGATTCTTCAAACTCATTGGCGAGATTATAATTTATAGACGACCTTTGAACGAATATCAAAATGACCTTGAGAAATGTTAGTCAATCAGTAAACAGTCAGTATAGAGTAAAAATATATACAATACAAAACCAAAGAATTTAAGTGGTAACAATTTTTTTATATGGTAGAGGAACTCATCCATATAGCTTCATAATAGTTGGTCTCTGGAGCCATGATAAGGTCATAAAAATACTTTTAGCTTCTACCAGATAGCTTCATCATTGTTTTCGTGTATTCCAGTTGAGTAAGTTTATCATCTTTATTACGGATATGTCCCTATAATACTCACATCAATGCACAGCCTAAGCTTCTGTAACATCTGCGAATATTGCAGTCAATGTTACTGGTGCTTTTATTATACATTTCGCGGCAATTATTATAATATCCCTTAGTCATAATCTGGATAGAGCGATATAGGTTCCTATTCTAACAAACGTCTTCCTTCAACATATATTACATCGAAGGACAACATCACGGTAGTCTGTAAAAGATCTACAGGTCATTTAATATTCGTAATTACAAATACAGAAACTTCTCAGTAGTTTCATTTGTTGTAGCCGCTTAATTATCAAGTCTTCTCTAAAATTCTCTGTGAACCGATCGTACATGATCATCAGGTACTGAAATTGGCGCCTTGACCTTGAAACTCCTCAGACGAATCTGATTGGCTGGTCCATAAATTATGGTCTCACCGATGAATTTTTCAAGGTCACTTTCACATTGTTGAAAGTTTATTCGTAAATTATAGTCTCACTTATATAGTTTGTGTCTTTCTATTTGTTGGTTGGAGGCTGTAGACAGAAAACCATAAACATAGATTTCTTGGCAGGTTGCACTTGTATCTTGGTATCTTGAGGGGAATGATATTCTTTGTGAGATTAGATCTGAAGCTGTTCAATTTTACAGCCTGGGTTTTTGCCGTTAAGTTATTCATGCAGCATATGACTTTTTGTAGTACAGAGATATCGATAATGATTTGTCACTCGACCTCACAGAAATGTAATCGGTAGAATTCGATCAACGTTTAAGACTAAACAAATATGATGTTAGTCACTACTCAATAACTGTTGGCTGGTCATATCTGTTGTTTCCCAAACTACAAAAGAAAACTAATATCTGACACTTAATGATCTTCAATGGTTTACATAATGAAATAGAATTAATGATTTAATCACTAAGCGTCATCTAATTCTTTTTAAGCAAACCAAGAGTGTGGTAATCTTTTTTTTCAAGTTTTTAGTTTAAGAAAAGTATTTTTAATGGTGTTACATCATCTAAACTCAAAGTAGTATACATATTCCATGATGGATATCTAAATGTTGTATTGCCGTCTATAAGGTGTACTTTGTCAGTGTATATTAGTTATTGAAGAATTATTTTATCATAAACAAAGTCTAATTCAGAAGGGGTTTGGGTGGATATTATAGTAATTTTATAAGTTGAGATCACGAGTTGATTGAAGCTAGTCCATCATGAAAAATCTTGAAGCACTGGATGGCCGTTTCATCTTATTGTAGGACTCCTCAATAGTGCGCACCCACGATCCTGACTCTCGAAATCAATGAAGTTCAACCGGGTCTGTTGTGAGATAGTAACTGATTAAAGACAATGGTGGATATGTCGCTGAATTTCTTGGACTGGCTGAATTTAGATAAAGCAAGAACAAACATTGATGCAGAATAGTATGAATTCATATTATTTCGAGGTTTCTCGTCAGCTGCTTACAAACCAAAATTATGATAGAATTTTTACATGAAGATAGTGTGAAACAATTGACATAAATGAGTGTAAATAACGTGATTACAATAATAACTATATATATATGCTAGAAACAGGTCAGAGGTCAAAAGAGGGAGGTTAATCCAGGGTGGGTGGTGTAATAATTTAGTGAAGTTCATAAATTGTGTGATAATTGTAGAGATTAATGGAATTGACTAATGATAAGGTAGATTACGTAATAATAATTAAATAGGGTTTGGAAAGTTAAGATGATTTAAGAGGATCAGGTGGTGGAAATGTGTGAATAAAATTTATTTTAAGAATTAGGTAATAGGGGGGAGTGTAAAATTATCTTAGAATAAGTAGATGAATAAAATAACCAAAACACAAAACAAACAGAAACAAAAGGGTTACCAGGGTAGTGATAAGTTTATTAAAGTCTCTTTTTGGATGCATAAGTCCGGTTTCAGTTTCTTAATTGCAATGGCTTCAGCAAAGTGGAGAGTGGTAGTGGTTCTTTGTCTATTGATAATTTTAAACGCGCACATAATATCGACGGTATGCCCGGTGTCAAGTAGATGCCGAGCTATTGCACTGTTAAAAGCTTTAGTCCCTCCCAGCGTCAAGTTCTTCGGAAATGCGAACCTGTACTCTTCTCTCAGTTCTTCCAATGTATGTGCTACGGCACGTACATGTGAATTGGTAAATGCAGAATGAATCCTGGGTTTGAATCTTGCGAGGAGGGATTGTGAATCCGCACTACTGAGGAATCACACAATAGGACGAAATGGTCATCCAGTGCTTCTAGATTTTTCATGATTATCTAGCTTCAATAGACTCATGATTTCAAGTATTAAAATTTAATAAATAAACAATTTGAAATAATTCATCCATTAAAGTATTGTACTTTTTTTTTTCATTAAAATCTTTCATTGCTCTTAACAGTTATCGGAATATTTCCTCTTCCTTCATTCCAAAAATATTTCTAGAAAACATTGTAACTAAGGTCATCTTTATTAATTGCATAATATAATGATTATAGTTAAGAAAGAGGTAAATAATTGCACATTATTCAATACACAATGAAAATGATATCAATGTTCAATCCTCTTCTTGTCATATGTATTCGTTTTTATACTAAAAATATATCAATAAATTAATATGTCAATTTCTTAGGTATTCAAGTGATACTTACTTGAGCCTGTTACTCCCAATGGAGCATAGTTCGCCGACCAGTATTCTCAAACACACATAATCTGACATGCGTCTTCCTTTCTAGTTCTATCCATTTTGTGTTCATTCTTCTCGTATCTGTCTCCATTTTTCAACATTATGTGTTCTTTAATCTTCTTCTTTTCCTTTGACCTTCAGGATTCCATGTGAGGACTTGTCTTGTGATGTAGTTATACGATTTCTTCAATGTATGTCCTATCCACTTCCAGCGATTCTTCCTCATTTCTTCCTTCACTGGATGGAATCTGGTTTGTTGTCTCCCACAAAAGCTTGTAGCTGATAGTGTCTGGTCATACGATTAGAAGTATCTTGCGTAGACAACTGTTGATAAACATCTGTATCTTGTGGGTGATGTCCTTCATCGTTCTACAGGTTTCCGCCCCATACAGTAGAACTGTCTTGACATTTATATTGAAAATTCTAATCTTGATGTTGGTTGACAATTGTTTTGAGTTCCAGATGTTCTTCAATTACAAATATACTGCTCTTACTTTCGCCGAACCACGTCTTCAACTCAAGTGATACTTTCGATGAAAAAATAGTTTATTTTTTAACTTTTTCATTCATATTTACAATCGTACTTTTCTATAATATAAACTAATCAATATTTTAGATCTTCCCATCGATGCGTTAGGACAGCAACTAGTCAGTCTCTAATTGACATATGTGCATACTGTGCGTATTACCAGTTGCAGTCCTAACACATCGATAGGAAGATTCAAACAAACAATACTAAATGAATTTAAACTTCACCCCATCTCACAAGCAAGTGGCTATAAAGACTCAGTGGCCGAATGGATAACGGAATGGCGTTTGAAGCGAAAGGTACTGGGTTCGAGTTACTCCTAGAATGAACATCAACTCTGAGATTCAGGTACATTCAGCTGACGAATCCCAAATAGGACGAAGTGTCGCACGTCAAACTGGATTCCACTGCTAGCCACTATCCATCTTTGCTTATCATGCTTGTGAATTAACACTATATCGAGGCAATACACACAGTATGCACATATGGCCAATTAGAGACTGACCAGTTGCACACCTAATACATCAATGGGAAGATTCAAACAAACAATACTAAATGAATTTAATCAATATTTTTTTTTGTTTATTTATTTTTTTTTTTTAGGGATTATATAGTGAAGTATTAGGTCCAACATTACCTACTCTAATGTATAATACCAAATCCAATTATGAACAAATTGGTATAGCCTTATCAACTAGAGCAATTGGTTTATTATTTGGTTCATTAATTGGTGGAATATTATCAGATCGATATAAATCCTTACGTAGTATATTTATTATATTATCATTAATAGTTGGTGCTATTACTACATTAATTGTACCATGGTGTTTAAATGTTATTATATTAACAATTATATTATTTATAGCTGGATTCTCACATGGTTTCCTAACAACAAGTAAGTGAAATATTATGTTTAGTATAAAAATTGAGTTATCACAAAGTATATTACTTACTTACTTACTTACTTACTTACTTACTTACTTACTTACTTACTTACTTACTTACTTACTTACTTACTTACTTACTTACTTACTTACTTACTTACTTACTTACTTACTTACTTACTTACTTACTTACTTACTTACTTACTTACTTACTTACTTACTTACTTACTTACTTACTTACTTACTTACTTACTTACTTACTTATGCCTGTTACTTTTAATCGAGCATAGGCCGACGACCAGCATTCTCGAATACACTCTGTCCTTGGCCTTCCTTTCTAGTTCTATCTAATTTTTGTTCATTCTTCTCATTTCTGTCTTCATTTCTCGGCGTAATATGTTCTTTGATCTTCCTGTACTCCTTTAGCTTCAAAACATAGCTCGTGTATCCTGGGACCATCGAGTAAGTAATGCAGTCGTTAGGAAACGGGTACTAGGCAAGGATGGCAGATCGATTGATGAAGTAGTGAAACTTCAGTTGAGATGGCTGGGACATGTGTTACGTATGTCCAACCACCGACTGCCCCGACGTGCAATGCTTCATGGTGTAGGAGTAGGTTGAAAGAAAGCTAGGGGCGGCCAGACCAAAACGTGGCATAAATCCATGAAGTCACTGACAAGTGGACTGGGCCATGTTGGTAGGTGTGGTCTACCTGGTTGGGATCCGAGAGATGATAGCAACCGATGATTAGAGACCTTGAATGACGTGGCTCAAAATCATTTGCAATGGCAAGGTGCATCCACTCTTTGTGTTCTACCAACTTCTAATCTTCTGAATTCTTCATGTCTCTATCTTTTTTCTGTTCTCAATTTTATTTCATTGAATTATACTCCCTGAACAACATCGTCAAACCCTAATCTTTCACATTAATGCCTATACTCTTACTACTTCTACCACCATGGGATTTGAATGGACAACTGCATTTCTGTGCTAATATGGTATGACAACTCGAACTGATGTACGAACGTACGAAATTCTACGTTGTGACTGACTGACTAACTGTCAATAATTAATTCAGTAACATTTAAATACTATGCATCAAATAATGAATTCAGTTGAGATAAATTTGAAAACTAGACGGGAATGGAAAAACTCTTCGTCTTAGTGTTAAACAACTCAGTCGTACACTTTCATGAATTTACTAAGCATCGATTCGCATGGAACGAGGGTTAAATCGTGAGATCATTTAGTTGAAATGGAGTGGTACAAGTTCTCAGCTTTGTTCAGTTCATAACTAATCCCTATTGCTGAATGCCGTTTAATTCGCGAATGAACTCATACTAAAAAAAGCTATTCAGTGTTTCTGTGTTTTCAATGACATTTTACTTGACATCATTATTTACTGAATACTATTTATAATACACCTCTAGAGACCAAACATGAAATTCAACAAAATGACAGTTTGAACCTGACCAATCCTATAGAGTCTAAGACATCGCCATGAAATCAAACATTCTGGGTTTAATTCCCGGATGCGGGATCGTGAGTGTGCACTTCTGAGGAATCCCACACAAGAACAAAACAGCCATCCACCACCCCCGAATTCTCATTGGTTGTCTAACTAAGATTAGTTCATGACTTAGAAACTATGAAGATGTGATCTGTTCGTAAACTTTTTGTTATCAATTTGTACATTTGACTAAATTCTATAAAGAAATCTAAACAGTCAGTAATCATGATAAAGTAATAACGATTATTATGACACTAAATAATTCAATGTAAATGAGAATAATACACGGTATGATAATTTCAAAAGACTATGAGTAACTAAGAGGTTGTGAACAGATTTATTGAAGTGAGATCACTAAAGTAACTAATTGTTTTCTCATATCAATAATTAAATAACTGAAAAGATTGGTTCAACGAAGATAGTTGTTACTTACTTACTTACTTACGCCTATTACTCCTCGTGGAGGAGCAAAAGCCGCACACAACCATTCTCCATACAAGCCTGTCCAAGCCAAACCTTTCCAGTTCTTTACTGTTAACATTCATCCTTTTCATATCTACTTTTATTTCCCAAAGTAATGTGTTCTTTGGCCTTTCCCTTTTCCGCTTCCCGTCACCATTCCAAGTTAGGAATTGCCTCGTGATGCTGTTTGAGGATTTCGTCAATGTATGTCCAATCCACTTCCAACGTCTTGTCCTAATTTCCTCTTCAGTTGGATGTTGTTTTGTCCTCTCCCGTAAAAGAATGTTGCTGATAGTATCCGGCTAGTGAATGTTGAGTATTTTGCATAAACAGCTGTTTATAAATACTTGTATCTCCGTCTGTAAATTTTCTCGAATTACTGCCGATTTCAAGCCCGGATAAAGGAGGAGGGTTGGACATAGGGTTAGCGACCTCATCCCATAGAAAAACTAACTCCCTAAAAAATGCTAACCAGAAAAATTATTTCAAACCATTTAAACTCTGACCTGTGAGTTGAAGGAATCATTATGATGCCCCATGATGAAAGCCGAAATTTTTTGGAAGTCACAAGGCCGATGCACCTTCTAACAACCGAAGATATTTGTCTTTTCAATAAATTTATTCCTAGAGCTATACAATTGTAGACATATACTGGTTTTCTACAACAATAAAAAATAATATGCTTGGTAATAGTAATAATATTACTGAAGATAGTAATAAAACTATAAGAGAATAGATCAGAAGGGGTTTTGTGGAGGATTTAGTATTTTCATGAAAATACTAAATCCTCCACAAAATCCCTTCTGATCTATAATCGTATGCTCACTAGTGACTGACTTCAAGAGATGTTCCCTTGAGTTCTAGTGGGGAGCAGTGACCAGTGGAGTTCAACCAAGTCTGTTGTAGAGATATCAACTTACTGAAGACAATTGGTGAACGGTTACTCAAAATCGTGAATTCGTTGAAGTTAGACATTAACACTGTCGGATGGCAGCTGGCTCACTGGTTTATCGGTCAAGTGCTCTGGTACGAGATTGTTAGGTCCTGGTTTCGAATCTCGAGAGTGCGAGATCGTGGATGCGTACTGCTGAGTCTCACAACGGGACGAGACGACCGTCTAGTGCTTCCAGGTTTTCAATGGTGGTCTAGATTCAATTACTCATGCTTTCAACTATGAAAATAAGAGAATAATTAAGAGTTTGGAAATTCGACTGTTTAAGACTTTAACAAGATTAGGAGTTGTATACGTTTACTTTATATACACAATATTGACTTTTCTAATTGTACGAGAAAGATAAACAATACTAAGAGAACGGAAATTCCTTTCGTCTGGTTTCATTTATCTTATAGATGAATGAAACTCTAAGTATATTTTGATGGAAAGTCGCATTCAAAAGGTATTCCATTATGAGATATCTCATGAATTGACTGATATCTTGATTTAGCTATGTTGAATGTTGTAGAATCCTCTTCGATAGAATATGTATTGAGTCACTTATTGTGGATCATGGGTGCGCATTGCCGAGGAGTCCCTTAATAGGACGAAACGGCCATCCAGTGCCTCCAGGTTTTCCTTGGTGGTCTAGCTTCAATAGATTCATGATCTCAACTATCAAAATTAAGTCACTTCTTTGTCTAGCTTGACAGGAGCAAATTGAATGGAATAACTTGTCTTTTAATTTACTGTTAAATATTGGGAGACTAAGAACAGTAAATATGTTGCCAAGAAGAATGCTGTTTTAAGGAAGCTAATAGTCATATCCTTTCAGATATCTACAGTTTTGTTATCTTTGAAATCCCTGATCTTGCGAAACACTTTCTTCCTTGCTGTGTTGTTGTTATTGTCTTCAAGTAGATTATTCACACAAATAAACATATTCAGTCAGTCAGCTACAACGTAGGATCACGCACATATATGCATCAGTCCAAGTTGCCATATCTCGTTAGCACAACAAGATGAACTCTGGATTCATAGAAGTAGTTAATTTAGTGGTGGTAATATATTTAATATAGGTTGTATATAAGCATATAGTATAGGAAGGAAGAAAGTTATGAAGCAACTTTAATTTTAAGGTTTAAGGGAAGATAAAGAATGTATACACCTACGCCATTGTGACCGATTCTCAGCCATGTCACACAGTCTTCAACCATTGGTTACGATAGTCACGCGGACTAGTAGTATGCATCTGCCAACATTGCTCAGACTAGAAGTTAGGGACTTCAAGTTCTGATGCCACGTTTGGGTTTGGCCATCCCTAAATTTCTTCTAACCATCCCCAACACTAGTCAGCATAGCGCGTTGTGGTAATCAGTGTTTATATTACTAATTGTCGTCATAGAAAAAAGGGTTATACATTTATAATTTTACAGCTTAATCCATTAACAACTAAACCTTTTTTGTAACCATTCTTGCTTGTTATTATACCATATTTAATCATTAAATATGAAGATATTAAGAGGATCAAGTGAATAAATTCTAAAAAATTACTTATTTACTCCTGTTACCCCATGTGGAGGAGCATAAGCTGCCCAACAACATTCTCGATCGAACTCTGTTCTAGGCAACCTATTAATTGCCCCCAAATGCCTTGGTACGGCCGAGAGTGGGGAGGGGTCACCCTCGCTCTCTAAATGCTTTCGCATGGCCACGCGTATATAGCTTCTCTCAGGGAAGTCCTACTCACAGCCTTCTCGTGACGGGGGGTGTTGTTTACGAAATTGAGAGGACGAAAAGCAAATGTCCGGTGCCCAAAACGGTTTGGTGGAAATGCAGGATCCACCCAGGAGAGTTGTGAAACCTTGATTTCAAAACAATGGTGTACATGGGCTGCAGTATCCTGATGGAACGAATGGCGTAAGAACGTATCGTTGGCAACCAGCTACCATTGGACGGCATCTCCTTAACATGCTCCACTGCCTTGTGGATCAGATCTTCAGGTCTAAGGCTCCGGGTATGGCCCTTTAAGAAAACCACTTACTTTGGTTTGGGAAACCGGGCAGTATCATGTCCCTCACACAATATCTGGTGTCTCCTTGTACCAATATATATGTGTGCAAATAATTACATAAATAAACCTTATAAATACCATATTATGTTATAACTTGATCATTTAAATTGTTTATGAGAAAATGCATTGAAGTTGGTAAGATTTAAAGATTAGGAGAATGATTAATAGCTCTTCAAATAATCCATCTCGGTATTGTGACATTCAATGGATAACAGTATAATTTGAAACATCAAAGATAAGGTATTTACTTCAACATCCATAAACTCTCTTAAGAATTCTTGAATTTCAGATCTTCTTACATACTTAAATGATTCCACTTCAAGGATTAATATTGATACATGTATGTTATAGATGTAGATCTATGTGGTTGATATTTGGTACTGAATTTTTTTATAAATTAACGTTAACTAACAGTCTAATTATGTGATATATAAGGGGTTTGAATAATTTTTTATGGTTAGCATTATTTTAGTGAGTTAGTTTTTTAAGGGATGGGGTCGCTAACCCTATGCCCAACCCTCCTCCTTTATGTGGGTTTAAGACCGGCAGTAGCCTCTGGAGCAGCTACAGGCAGAGTTGTGTGATACATGCTTTCAAAATTATGCTGTTAGTACTATCAAGATGTCTACACAAGATACTTTGGATTCGATGGCCAGACACAGTAACAAGTTACTGTGGGAGAGAACAAACGAGATTCCATCCAGTGGAGGAAGAAATCAGGAAGAAGCGTTGGAAGTGGATAGGACACACATTGAGGAAATCACCCAACTGTGTCACAAGACAAGCCCTCACATGGAATTCTGAAGGTCAAAGGAGAAGAGGAAGATCAAAGAACACATTAGGCTAAGAAATGGAGACAGACATGAGTAGAATGAATAAAATTTGGATAGAACTAGAGAGGAAGGCCCAGGAAAGAGTGGATTGGAGAATGCTGATCAGTGGCCTATGCTCGATTGGGAGTAACAGGCGTAAGTAAGTAAGTAAGTACTATCAAGATAAAAAGATGAGATGAGACAAGAAAACTTCTATAGTAATCAAGATAACAAAAAGTATCAAGAAATAATATATACTTCTAAGAGACAAATCAAAGAAGATGTGGAAGCAACGTGTTTGATATATGATTTCCACATTTTACTAAATGAGTGTATAATTACACATTAAATAATAAATTGGTTATCTTCAACAAGACGTCGTACATTACATGTATCCATATATCTGTATTGATAAGGAAGAGGTTTTTAGGTAAATCATTGATTTTCAATATTACTTTACTTACTTACTTACTTACGCCTGTTACTCCCAATCGATCATAAGCCGACAACCAGCATTCTCAAACCCACCGTGTCCTCGGCCTTCCTTTCTAGTTCTATCCACATTTTGTTCATTCTCCCCTTGTCTATCTCCATTTCTGGGCGTAATGTGTTCTTTGGTCTCTGCCTTCTCATTTGACCTTCAGAATTCCATGTGAGGGCTTGTCTTGTGACACAGTTGGGTGATTTCCTCAAGGTGTGTCCTATCCACTTCCAACGCTTCTTCCTGATTTCTTCCTCCACTGGATGGAATCTGGTTTGTTCTCTCCCACAGTAGCTTGTTGCTGATAGTGTCTGACCAATGGACCTGGATTATTTTGCGTAGACAACTATCAATAAATACTTGTATCTTCTGGATGATTATTTTCGTAGTCCTTCACGTCTCCTCCTCATACAGTAGAACTGTCTTGATATTTGTATTGAAAATTGTGATCTTGATGTTGGTTAACAGACCGTTGTTTTGAGTCCCAGAGATTTTCAATATTAGGAAATGTTAAGTTTTGATATTTTTATTTCCTGATAGATAGATAGATGGTTATCCACTGTGTGATGATCTATGGTTACAAGTTATGATAACTGTTGTTATCTATATCATCGGAAAAATCTTTTCTTCCCTGGAACGTTTCATTTGTTGTGTCTACTAGTTCCTCAGTAACATTTTCCTTTAACAAAGATGAAAAACAACAAGGTTATCTAAATTTTTTTAAATATTTCCTGTAGTTAACATGGAATTTGCTGTTCTCTGTGATAAATCATTCTTTACTTTTATTATAGATGGTAATCCACTACTTGCTTCGGTTTGGGAAGAAAAAGCGGCTGGACCATTTAGTTTAATGCATTCTGGTTATGGTATGGGAGCAGCATTAGCTCCATTATTAGTGAAACCATTTACAATTCCTTCACCATCAAATAATAATGATACCTTAGTAACAAATATTACTACTAATCAACAGAATAATACAACTGAATTAGTACTTGTCAATGCTATGATCCCTTATTCAATAGTTGCTGGAATTGTATTATTATGTGCTTTTTATTTTTTTATAATTACTTGTATTGATCATTCAACCAATTCAAAATCCAATGGAATTATGTTATTAAAAGGTGACAACAATACCAAGGTAAGTTGTTTTGTTTTGAATAGGTATTCATTTATTTATATAACTGGTGAATGATAAATAGAAATGGATGATGACCCAACGGTGGAGTCCAGGATGCGCGTTTGACTTGAGGCGATGTCGACGTAATCCTCATAGGATGGACATATGCCAACAAGACACGGATCAATTGAAGTCCTAAACAGCAATCTCAAGATTCAAACAAACAGAAAAACAAGTTAGACATTAACACCATTGGATACCGGTTAAGGGTTCTGGTTCGATACTGGTAGGTCCTGGGTTCGAATCTCTCTCGCGGGGCGGGATCGTGGATGCGCACTGCTGAGTAGTCCCATAATAGGACGAAACGGCCTTCCAGTGCTCCCAGGTTTCCGATGGTGGTCTAGCTTCAATTGACTCATGATTTCAACTATGAAAAAACCAAATCTCCACAAAACCCCTTCTGATAATAAACAATACTGAATGAAATTCAACGGGATAGTTTTTATACTAATGTCATAGAGGAAAATTGCTATGATTTGATTAGATGTGTTATATTGATTGAGTGCGTGCCCTGTTTGATATGTGAAAGTGTTGATTCCCGAAATTGAGGGAAGAGCGAATTATCGATCGGAGCAATAATCCTCAAAAGCTGTATGAACAGTCTTGAGCACTTGTCAGTTCTGCTTTCTGCCTAACCCAGCCAGTTAAGTTCAGAATACCAATAACAACCTATGCAATATGAATCGGTGAAAACCTGACTTTCCAACACTTGTCTGACTTTGGTAAAGTCACGTTTTCTGTGCTAGGCAGTTTGAAAAGTGAACTTTTTACTGCTTTTCTAGACAATATCACTATAAGTACAAGTTCCGATTGTTTGTTGTTAGCAAGTAATTCTCTAACTGTTTTGAAGTTTATGGTGATGATGTTATTTAGAATGAAAACGAAAACTTCCTAGAAAATTGACTAGCTCAGAGAGCATAACTTTATCAAACTTTATCATCTTAAGCTCAAAATCTCACTTCTATCTTGAAATGTTCGACACTCTGTCACGTGGTAAGTATATCAGTCAGTCGTTCATATTGTATCACTTGATAACTAGGAAATATGATCATTAAGGTTTAACTTCAGCCATGGATTGGTAACATTAATATCATAAGCACCTTCACAACAATATTTATGCATTCTAGAAGCACTTAGTGAGTCACATGAATTTTAGAAATATGTTCTAGAAATACCATGTTGATCTCTGAGGTTGTTAATTTTTCTATTACTGCATAACTGAAGGAGCTGTTAGTGTTGTAGTCTTTGAACTGGATAGGTTGTTTTGAAACTTTTCCATTGTATTTCTGAACAACATCATCAGAGCGCATACTTCAAGAAGTGATCTAGAGCAATGCCTTTACGAATAACTAACAGCTTATTTTGTTCAACTGAAATTTGATTCTGAAGAAAAATAAAAAATTCATAACTAATCCATCCAGCTCAAAGATTACAACACCTCTAACATCCTTATTTCAAGCTATAATTATTATCCTTCATCTCATGATGAGCTGTACAAATAACTATATATTAGATGCATGTTACATAGATGTTCTGATGTAATTTTATTGATAGAGTATATCAGGATAATAATTGTATACAACTGTTTGTAAAAATGGAGCTCAAAACAATTATCAACCAACACCAAGATCACAATTTTCAATACAAATGTCAAGACAGTTATACTGTATGAGGCGAAGACGTGAAGGACTACGAAAATAATCATCCAGAAGATACAACTGTTTATTGATAGTTGTCTACGCAAAATAATCCAGATCCATTGGTCAGAAACTATCAACAACAGCCTACTGTGGGAGAGAACAAACCAGATTCCATCCAGTGGAGGAAGAAATCAGGAAGAAGCGTTGGAAGTGGATAGGACACACATTGAGGAAATCACCCAACTGTGTCACAAGACAAGCCCTCACATGGAATCCTGAAGGTCAAATGAGAAGATGGAGACCAAAGAACACATTGCGCCCAGAAATGGAGATAGACAAGAGGAGAATGAACAAAATGTGGATAGAACTAGAAAGGAAGTCCCATGACAAAGTGTGTTGTAGAATGCTGGTTGTCGGCCTATGCTCCATTAGGAGTAACAGGCGTAAGCAAGTAAGCAAGTGTGTAAAAATGCACTTGTATGGATAAGTAAACTACGCCACTGCTTAAAATAAATGAAATATAGCACAATTCGTACCTATAACATAATGATTTCAAGGCAAGTGTAGTATCTACTTATCTATCAATTTAGAAAGTTGATCAATAATCAAGTAATTGTGGGTAAAAAGGCATCTAACGTGCGTATAAGAGAGGAGAATAAAAGGACAATTACGACCACAGATTGGTGTATGGAAGTGTAATAATAATATTAGGTAGTGAGAAAGTAATAGTAATGGGAAAAACAGAAAAGTAGAACCGGAAAGAATTCTTCCAGTTAAGGAAGTTACAGCCACTTTTTTGAAGAATGTAAGAGAAGGTTATAGCAGGATCACCATTGGCTTCTGTTCTGAGCCATATCTGATAACGTCTCTAGACACTGTGTTGCATCATCTATTGGACCCCAGCCAGAGAGTTGTGAAGGACCAATAGAAGCTAGCCCTTTGCAGATTTCTTTCATGCCACGACACCATGTCATACACTAACCACTACTCTGCTTTTTCCAAACAGTCCCAGTGTCGTCGGCAAATAATGAACGACGCGGAATTCTCTGGGATGACATTCGTAGAACATATCAAAGCGTCAACTTACAATTCCCGACTTATAAAAAAAAACAAAACACAAGGTCGAGTGTATAACGCGATGACGTTTGAACAGAATGGTACCGGATTCGAGTTTCAGAGTGAGCATCAACTCTGAGATGTAGGTACATACAGCTGACGAATCACAAATAGGACGAAACGCGCGTCCTTGATTCCACTTCTAGCCACTATCCATCCTTATTTACTAAGTAAGTTGATGTTTAAACTGAATCCTCTCATTATTATATACATTATTAGGAAACAAGTTAACCAGACAGAAAGTTCAAACAATTTACTGTCTAGGCAAAAAAGTAGAAAAACCAAAACAACTTTATCGATTGATTTTTCTGTCAATCATAAAGAAAATGATGAAAATTGAAAAACAAAAAAAACTGTAAAAGATTATTAACTTTTATATAGATGAAATCATGAATCAATTGAAGCTAGACCATCATGGAAAACCTGGAAGAACTGAACGGCCGTTTCGTCCTCTTGTGGGACTCTTCAGCAGTGCGTATCCCGTTTCAAAATAGGACGAAACGTCTGTCTAGTGCTTCCAGGTTTTCCATGGTGATCTAGCTTTAATTGATTCATGATTTCATCTATGAAAATAATGAAGTCTCCACAGAACCCACTTCTGATTATTTACTTTGTTTGCTAGTAAAGTTTTATATTATTAAAAGTTATAGATAAGACTAAACCAATCAGAAATAAGGAAGTTACTTTTAAGATTCTGGTCAAAATTAAGAAGATAAGTGACATTTATCTCATGGAATATTAATATCTAAAGCATTATAAGTAAAGATGAATGATGGTTAGCAGAAGAATTCAGAATGCGCGTTTCGTTCTATTTGAGACTTGCTGACTGGATGTAAATTTATCGCAGAGTTGATATTCATTCCGGGACTCAGACCCAGTACTCTTTACTGCAAACTTCACCGCGTTATCCACTTAGCAGGATGTACATATACTAATAGGAAACTGATAAGTTGCAGTTTCAAACATCAATGGCGAAATTCAATCAACCAAACTGGTGGCAATCTAGATTCAGCAGCTAAGTGGGTAACGCGATGGCGCTTGAAGAGAAAATCACTGGGTTCGACTTTAGGAGTGAAAATCAACTCCGGGATGCAGGCATATTCAGTTGACAAGTCTCACATGGGGTGAAACGCACGTCGTGGATTCTACTGTTAACCACCACCCATCTTTGCTTATAATGCTTGCAACTAAAGGCGATGTCGATTCAATCTTCACAAGATGAACATACGCCAATAAGAGATTGATCAATTGCAGTCTTAAACATCAATAGGAAGATTCAAGAAAGAAATACAAATGTGAATGAATATCTCAGTAGAAATACTTTCCTATGGTGTTTAGATAGATAGTATATAATAGAAAAATTTCAATTTTACCATCAACTTGCAGCGATTCGGAAGACTCTCATGGTCTCCCACATTGTACGAGCATTCCATGTTCCCAAATAATGGTTTCTCTGGTTGTTAGAAGCGTCATCAGCCTCATGACTCTCGAAAGAACTCGGCTTTCACCATGAAGCGTCGTAACTCTTCTATAAGAAGACCTTCTTACTCCCAAGGCAGAGTTAAAATGGTTTGAATGATTTTTTCTGGTTAGCGTTTTTTTGGCGAGTTAGTTTTCTACGAGATGGAGTCGCTAACCCGATGCTCAATCCTCCTTCTTTGTGTTGACTTGGGACCGGCAGTAGATCTCTGAGGAGATAAAGGCGGAGTTGCTTTTACCAGCATTGAGTGAAAATAACTGATTTTATTCCATTATAATTGTTCTTAGTAAACTGAATAATACTCAAACTGATAACGTAAGAATGATATAACAGTTAATGATTTTCAAACACAGTTTTTGTATATCGCAAACCATATCTGGTTAGTGAATTCCAGGAAACTGTTTCTGGCTTTGAAAAGTATCAGGAAGGAAACCACTAGTGCAAATATATTCACAATCAGGTTAATACTATTATGTAACAGCATTTCTCTACTAATAACATCAATATACTGATAGTAAGAGTTAAAAAACTGGTTACACTATCAAAGCCACTGTACCCTGAAAAGCTTCGTAATTCCTTCAGTAAAATACTTATAATTTATACAAATTCTTTCCTAATTATCAGTACATAGATTTGTGCAGGTTATTGATTGTTATTGGTATCACAAACTTACCTAAGTTAGATATCTATTGTAAATCAGGTAACATTAGATAGCTATTTCGTCCCATTTTGGGGCTCCTAAGAAGTGGGTATTCACAAATCCTCCCCGTGGATTGTACTAAATGTCTTTGGTCTCTCGACAAACTCTTATCTTTTCGAGTATAAGACCAAAATCTAACTGTAAAAATATCTAACTTTAGTTGATTCGTAACATTACACAAATATTTTTCATTGTCTTCAGTGAGTAACTGCCACATACTGGCACACTTGAACTTTATTACTCATAGTCTCTTCTTAGTTAAAATGACTTGAAATGATCAATCTCATTATAATTTAGTTTTTAGTTCAACTCAAAAGTTTAAACAATCTATCATACAAAATTGACTTAGTATTGTTTGTTTGAATCTTCCTGTCTAGGTGTTAGGACTGCGACTGGTCAGTCTCTTATTGACATATGTGCATACTGTTCGTATTGCCTCGATAAAGCGTTAGTTCACAATCATTATAAGCAAAGACGGATAGTGGCTAGCAGTGGAATCCAGGATGCACGTTTCGTTCTATTTGTGACTCAGCTGGATGTACCTGCATCTCATAGTTGATGTTCACTCTGGGAGTAACTCAAACCCAGTACCTTTCCTCCATACGCCATCGCGTTGTCCACTAGGCCAAACAAACAATACTAAGTGAATTTAAACTTCAACCCATTACACAAGCAAGTGGCTAACAGGACTGAGTAGCTAAGTGTATAACGCGATGGCGTTTGAAGCGAAAGGTACTGGGTTCGAGTGCTAGAGTGAACATCGACTCTGAGATGCAGGTACATCCAGCTCACGAGTCCCAAATAGGACTAAAAGCGCGTCAAACTGGATTCCACTGCTGGCCCCTATCCATCTTTGCTTACAATCTATCATACAGTTTAATTCATAAAATATGATTCTACAAATGATCTTTTCTTGGTTTTTTTTTATTTCGAAATTCTTAACTACTTAATCATTGGAATGTTGAATAATAAATCAATCGAACTGATACAATCTTTTATCTTTTTCTTCTTTTTCTTCTTTACTGTCAATGTTTCAGATAGATAGATACATAGATAGATAGATAGATAGATAGATAGATAGATAGGTAGGTAGGTAGGTAGGTAGATGGGTAGGTAGGTAGATAGATAGATAGATATTTCTTATTGTATATAATCAGAGTAATTTTGTTTAATTTTTTGAGATAGATAAAAGGTTTTATGGTTTCTAATGTTTACGTCAACAATATATGTGTATCTATGATTTGGAAAAATAGTTGTTATGCCAAATACTTGTAAACTAAACAAAGAGCTAGTAGTACTTTAACTAGATTAAAGAGAAAAAAAAACATTTTGCCAAATATATAGTTTATCTTGAGATAATGGAGAAGATTTGTAGCTGAGTTAGATGAGGTGCACAGGACAAGTTGTGAACCACATGTAGATAAATTCAAACATTTCACTTCTACTCGAAGTTTGTGCTGATGATATCGTTGAGAAGGATGATTAGTGCTCCACAATTAAATCATCCAGTTCAGAGAATAAACCTCCATCAAAATATGATTTATCTTATAGCTAGATATACAATAAAAATAGTAATAATACATATTTCGGGTAGAGATTAAACTTATATCAGTTTATGACTTTAAAACTTACTTACTTACGCCTATCATGCTTCGTGGAGTTGCATAGGTCACTGACTAGCATTCTCTATCGAACTCTATCGAGGGCGATCCTTTCCAGTTGTTTGTGATTTTGAAATTACTTAGTTGTAATTTAATAATTCATCTTTTCTAACTGGAAGCCATTTTAGATATAGTATAATATTACTCAGGTTAGATAATGAACATAACTGCTTCAATCGCTAAATCCCACTGTAGTGAACAACATATATATAGGCATACTGTGTGTATTGCCTCGATATAGTCTTAATTCGCAAGCATTATAAGCAAAGATGGATAGTGACTAGCAGTGGGATCCAGAACGCACGTTTCGGCCTATTTGGGACTCGTCAGTTGGATGTAGCTGCATCTCAGAGTTCATATTCATTCTGGGAGTAGCTCGAACCCAGTACCTTTCGCTTCAAACACCATCGCGTTATCTACTCGGCCAGTGAGTCCACTGACGAGTCGCAAATAGGACGAAACGCGCGTCCTGGATTTTACTGCTAGCCACTATCCATCTTTGCTTAAGAATCTAATTTGTTCGAATAATACAGAACAGTAGTATCAGTAGTATATGTAGATATGGAAGTAACTGGTTTATTGTAGAATATACTGACCTATACATGATGATTGGATTCACCTTATTATTACTATGAAATGTTTTCATATTACTGATAAGAGTAAGCCTTTCTTCTCTGACTGTTATAAATACAATAATATTCGTTCCATTATTTGCATATTCATAAAAGCACCCACGCACAAACGCCAACATTATTGTTCTGTTACTCAAACTACAACAGTTTGTATTTTTACTGAATGATCTTTGCATCTATATATCCAATACAGTCAATGTTATCTTCACTCTTGTTCTATCTCATGAAATTGAAATCCTTTAGAAGCGTTCGTATTATTCAGTTTATGATATTCAACATAGAATTTTGACCCTCAAGAATATACATCTTAATTATTACTGATGTTAATAGCTAACTAAACTCAATGGGTTAGTAGATACTTCATTATTGTGAATAACAATTAGTACATTGTTCAAATCTTGGTTTAGTACATCAACATTGTATATTGTATTTGTATTCAGCTGATTGATTTCAAATAGGATGAAACTCATCTCACTGAATTCTATTGTTATACACAATCTAAATAAGATGAACTTTTAAAGATTTTATACATATACACTATTTTGTAATATCAGTTCTAAAGTATAAATCATAATCACTAACAATGGAATCCAAGACGAAAGTTTTGTCTTATTTGAGACTTATCAACTGGATACACATATCAGAAGGGGTTTGGTGGAGATTTTATTAATTTTATAGAGTTGAGATCATGAGTCAATTAAAGTTAGACCACCATGGAAAACCTGGAAGCACTGAAAGGCCTTTTTGTCCTATTATGGGATTCCTCAGCAGTGCGCATCCACGATCCCGAACTCGCGAGATTCGAACTCAGGACCTACCAGTCTCGCGCCAGAGCACTTAACCTAATAGACCACTGAGCCGGCTGTCATCCGACGGTGTTAATGTCTAACTTCAACCAATCCACGAAGTTTGAGCAACCATTCACCAATGTCATCAGTGAGTTGATATCTCCCAACACACTTGGTTGAACTCCACTGGCTACTACTCACTAGAACTCCAGGAAATACTTCATGGAATCAGTCACTAGTGAGCAGATGATCATTATCAGAAAGGGATTTTGGGGAGATTTTAATAATTTTATAAAGTTGAGATCATGAGTCAATTGAAATTATAAATATTGTTCTATTTTCAGTAGATAGGGGTTGATGCTATATAAATTTCTCTGATTTGTAACTCCATTGTTGTCTATCTCACCCCTGTATCAACTATATTTATTCTGAGTATTATTCATTTCACAATTTCATTTCACTTATAAATGGATTCAAGTTAACACTTCATATATTAGTCAACTCCAACATTAACCATTCCATTTAATTTTTTATACTACAAACAATTCTTGATTCAGAAGGGGTTTTGTCGATATCATAGTAATTTGAATAGTTTAGATCATGAATCAATTGAAGCTAAATCACCATGGAAAATCTTTCCTAGACAATATTTTTTCCAGTTCTTTCCAGTTCACATTCATCTTTTTCATATTTGCTTCTATTTCCTGACGTAATGTGTTCTTTGTAAAATTTCAGTATGAATGTATTTGTTTGAAAAAGCTTGAACTAGATTGTCAGATGAAACATTGAATTTACTTCGAATTCATTCGCTGAAATTTTACAAATATACATATTTTTTCCTATTTAATATCTCATATCAACTCAGTGCCATACATACTGTGAAACTGTTCGTTCTAATTTAGATAAAAGTTTTTAAATAAAACAAAAGAAATCGTTCTTGTTGAATTTAGTTTTCATTGTTGGAAGCATAAGTCAATTGAAAGTAGACCACCAAGGAAAATCTGGAAGCACTGGACAGTTGTTTCGTCCTATACTTCGTCCAGGCTTCCAGGTCTTAAATCAATTCAGCGCTCTAAATCCTATGAAACGATTCATTCTAATTTAGATGAAAATTTTTATATTATTATTATTCTCCTCGTATTTCCTTAAAAAAAATTGAACCAGATTTTCAAATGTAACGTTGAATTTTCATTCATAAGATGATGGTTAAAGGTGATCAACAGGAAACCATGGACTCATGTTTCGTGCTACTTTATATTCGTCAACAAGCTGTACCTGTAATCTTGAGTGAACTAGCGATCCCTGACAGATTCGTTCCTGTATCACTCAGTTTCACAATCAAAGACGTTACCACTGAGCTGTCCGAGTCGCGACTAATCTCCTGTAAGACTGATATCTAATCACAATTGATTGATCACTGGGTGATGATCAACATTATTTTAACTCAACATAGTGCACGTAGTGTCAAGTCATCTAGACTAATGGCCATATTGTAACTTGATCGATACCATTCAATCAGCACTAAAAAAAGAATTGACACGCATGACATTGATCATCATCCAGTGATTAATCAATTGTAATTTTCATTCATATTCATTCATTGAAATTTAAAAAAAAAAAATTTTTTTTGCTTTTTTTATTGATTTTTTATTTTTTTATTTGTTTTTCTTTTTTTTATTGATTTTTTGTTTATTTATTTTTTTTCTTTTTTTCTTTTTCTTTTTAAATGAAAAAAAAACAAACAAACAGATTACATCATCAACATCATTATCAACCAATCAAATTTTTTCTAAAAAATCTTCAAAAAAATTAAATTTCAATTATTTTAAATTAATTCAAACAATTTTATATGAAAAATTAAAAAAATTAAAAAAAATTAATTTAATTATTATTAGTTGTACATTTATTACTTTTTTTACTATTGTAGGAAATGAACGTGTTTATGGAAAATTTATGTTTACTTATGCATTATATGGACCATTAAAATTAACATTAAATGATAGTTATATAATTAATCTTATATATTGGTTATGTTTTTGTTTGGCACGTATTTTAATATTTTTTATATCAATATGTTTATCAGCACATATTATATTAGTTACTATAGCAACTGGAACTTTGATAAGTTCTATTGGTTTATGTATATTACCTTATAAAAAATTATGGTTTTATATATGTACTATATTATTTAGTTTATTTAAAAGTCCATTATTTCCATCTACATTAGCAACAATGAATCATTCAATTGAAATTAATGGTTTTATTATTATTATTGTAAATTTTGGTAGTTCATTTGGTGCTACTATATTACAATATACTGCTGGACGTTTAATTAATTTATATGGACAATTTATATTTCCATATTTAGTAACTGGTACATCAATTTTATTATTATTAACATCATTGATATTAATATTAACATTAAAACATATTGGTAATCGATTTAATAATAATGATCATCATGATCATATTATAATTGATACAATGCCTGAATCAATAAATGATGATCACAATGATAATAATGATCCTAATGATCATTTTATGATCACTTCATTACCAAGATCAAAATTTATTGGATCTAAATTAACCACAAACATTCCTCAATCAAATATGAATCCAATAGATCATAATATTGAAAAATTATAAAAAAAATTTAGATTTGATTTAATCAATAATCAATCAATTATGTATCAGTGTATGCATGTCTGTGTGGTTGCGTGCGTTCGCGCGTGCGCACATGAGTGCGTGTGTGTGAGATAACTTTTGTGGTGCACAAGTTTTTATTTTGTTTTTTTTTATAAACAAAACAGTATTTCATTTTTATTGTTTACATCATGTTTTGTCACTAAGGCGAAAAAAAACAAACAGACAAAAGGAATTATATCAAAATATTTTTTTTAAAGTTTTTTGTTTCTCATTTAATATTCAACATTTTTTTTCAAATAGTTTTCTTTTTTTAAAAAAAAACAAAAAAAATTTTTTTTATCTCAGTGTAGCCTCAGCAGTAGTAGGTCTCAATATAAACAAAGAGAAAAGCAAGACTCTCCGATACAATACAATATGCACCAATCAAATTACACTTGACGGAGAAGCTTTGAAGGATGTGGAAACCTTAGCATATCTGGGCAGCATCATTGATGAACACGGTGGATCAGATGCAGATGTGAGGGCGCGGATCGGCAAAGTGAGAGCAGCATATTTACAACTGAAAAACATCTGGAGCTCAAAACAATTGTCAACCAACACCAAGGTTAGAATTTTCAATACAAATGTCAAGACAGTCCTACTGTATCCAGAAGATACAAGTGTTTATTAACAGCTGTCTACGCAAGATACTTCGGATCCGAAGGCCAGACACTATCAGCAACAAGTTACTGTGGGAGAGAACAAACCAGTTTTTATCCAGTGAAGGAAGAAATCAGGAAGAAGCGCTGGAAGTGGATTAGGCACACATTGAGGAAATCACCTGATTGCGTCACAAGACAAGCCCCCACATGGAATCCTGAAGGTCAAAGGAGAAGAGGAAGACCAAAGAACACATTACGCCGAGAAATTGAGACAGACATGAGAATAATGAACAAGGACTAGGTAGAACTAGAAAAGGAAGCCCAGGACAGAGTGGGTTGGAGAATGGTGGTCGGCGGCCTATGCTCCATTGGGAGTAACAGGCGTAAGTAAGTAAGTAAGTCATTTTGTATTTATGTTTCATTGAATAAATCGTTTCCAAATTTATGATGATTTTTTTCTATACTAGAGATAAACAATCTTAGAATTATATCATCGTCTTGTGAAAAAAACACGAGTGCAGCCGAGAGTGAGAAAAGTCCACTCTCCTTCTCGAAATGCTTTCAAATAATCACGCGTATATAGCCTCTGGTAGGGAAGTTCTGCTCATTGCCTTCTCGTGACTAAGGTTGTTGTTTAAGAAATTGGAAGGACGATAAGCAAATGTCCAGTGCTTTAACCGGTTCGGTCGACACGAAAGTTCACCTAGGGAAGTTGGAAAACCCTGATTCCAAACCAATGGTGCACATGAGTTCCAATATCCTGAGAGAACAAATGGCGTATGAACCTACTGTTGGTCACCGGCTACCATGGGACTGCATCTCTTCACGATGTTCCACTGCCTTGTGATGAAATCCGTAGGTCGAAGGCTGCGGTTGTGGCGTCTTGAGAAAACCACCTGCTTCAGTTTGGGCACCTGAGCAGTATCACAGTCCTCACACAATTCAAATGAGATTTGTGTGGAGCATATATATATATTGGTTCCCCTTTGTACCAATAATTATGTGTTTAAATAAATAAATAAATCTTTATCTACTGTATGCCAGTAAGCATAGATTCGAGTCAACGATTTCATCTTGTTGATACCGGAATGGCGTTCTGTTTCGGTTCTTTCTTAATCAATCTTCTAATGAAATACATTCTGTGCCTGAAATTAGTTGACAGTTGTTTTGAGTTCCATTCACATTCTGGTCCGGCAAGATTCAAGTAGCTTTGTGTATGCGTTTATGGGGGAATATTGTGCAACCTATAACCAAATTGTTGAATGTACATAGATTGTCGAATCTCTCCCCATTTTCATTTCTCTCTCCTAGTCCATGTCGTCCCATGATATATTAATACCTGGTGTTGTCCATTCAGACTTTCGTGATGAAATCTTTCATCAGGATGGTCAGGTGCCTTTCTGAGTAATTCTCTATGATTGACTGCAGCCTATCACAAAAGTGACCTTTATCATCGTCGTTACTATCATTGATGGGTGCATAACATTGGATAACATTCATTGTGATTCACTCATCCTTTGTTTTGGATGATGTTTTTATGTTTCTGGATCCATGAGGTAACCATCCTATAAATGGTTTGCATGCTAAGATGCACAACATCAGAGCAACTCCCTTAGTGTGTGGAGCACTTACTTCTTCGTGACCTGAGTACAGAAGCATCTTTCCTGAATCTATCCTTCTCTATCCAGTTTGGATCTAATGGATTTCATTTACTCTTAGCACCGTCAAGTTATATCTCCTCATTTCCGTTGACATTCAACTGGTCCATCCAACCTTTCACATTGTATAAACATTTCATGTACCTACAAAAGTTGTTGCTTTGGTTGTTAGAATGGTTATCGGCCTCTTCACTACTGAAGAATCTCAGCAATCATCATTGTTCTGAATGAAAATCGTTGAACTTAGAGGACAGAATTTAGATAGTTTAATTAGTTTAATCTGATTGACGTTGCTATAGAACGGTTGTTATCTTCGTGATATGTTTGCTGTCTTCATGTTCAACTTTACAAATGCTCCTGATGGAGTTTTTCATCTAGTTGACAAGTGAGAAATACGACAAGCATGCATTCATTTATAACTTGAATATAGTTTTAATATGCATATATACTTATATATAGGTGATGTTCCTTAGGTTGATTTATTCATCATTACCATAAAAACAGAATATAAGCTACCTATGTTTGTATACGTGATAATGATTTATATCATAATGGATTCCATATTGATTGTTACCTAGAACTTACTAGAAATAGCGCTTTCTATAAAGATATATACATTCTCTTCTTTGATGTAATATAATGTATTCAGTGTTTAATAGTTTACTGGAAAAAAATTTATGCAAATCATATGCATTTACAATTGAATTAAGAGTATTAGTTGGAATTATAAGAAAAGAAAATAGGTATAATATAAGTAGTATGTTACGGTAGATAGCATATTGAATAAAAAGATTGACTCTCAAATCTTACTTACTTACTTACACCTGTTACTCCCAATGGAGCGTAGACCACCGACCAGTATTCTCTAACCAACTCTATCCTGGGACTTCTTTTCTAGTTCTACCAAACTTTTGATCATTCTTCTCATGTCTGTTTCTATTTCTCGGCGTATTGTGTTCTTTGGTCTCCCACTTCTCCTTTGACCTTCAGGATTCCATGTGAGGGCTTGTCTTGTGACGGAATTGGGTGATTTCCTCAATGTGTGCCTAATCCACTTTCAACGCTTCTTCCTGATTTCTTCCTTCACTGGATAAAAACTGGTTTGTCCTCTCCCACAGTAACTTGTTGCTTTTAGTGTCTGGCCAACGGATCCGAAGTATCTTGCATAGACAGCTGTTATTAATCACTTCTATCTTCCGGATGATAGCTATTGTAGTTCTTCAAGATTCCGCCCCATACAGTAGAACTGTTTTGACATTTGTATTGAAAATTCTAACCTTGGTGTTGGTTGACAATTGTTTTGAGTTTCAGATGTTCTTCAGTTGTAAATATGCTGCTCTTGCTTTGCCGATCCGCGCCCTCACATCTGCATCTGATCCACCGTGTTCATCAATGATGCTGCCCAGATATGTAAAGGTTTCCACATCCTTCAAAGCTTCTCCGTCAAGTGTAATTTGATTGGTGCATATTGTATTGTATCGGAGAGTCTTGCTTTTCTCTTTGTTTATATTTAGACCTACTGCTGTTGAGGCTGCTGCTACATTGGTCGTTTTCTCCTGCATTTGTTGTTGCGTTTGTGATAGAAGAGCCAGATCATCCGCGAAGTCTAAATCGTCCAGTTGCATCCTAGCTGTCCATTGTATCCCGTGCTTCTTAACTCTTAATCAATGTCTGAGAATTTGAATAATACTCTACTAATTGATATTTGAGTATATAATTTTTTTCATTATTATTGATGAACGAGGAGAATCTGATGAAGATGTAAGTGCGAGGATTGGCAAAAGATGGACAGGATTAAATTCATTTAGTATTGCTTGTTTGGATCTTCTCATCGATTTGTTAGGACTGCAACTGGTCAGTCTCTAATTGGCATATGTGCTTACTGTGCGTATTGCCTAAATATAGCCTTAATTCACAAGCATGGTAAGCAGAGATAGATAGTGACTAGCAGTGGAATCCAGGTAGCGCGTTTCGTTCTTTTTGGGACTCGTCAGTTGGATGTACCTACATCTCAGAGTTGATGTTCACTCTGGGACTCGAACCAAATACCCTCGCTTCAAACGCCATCGCGTTATCCACTCGGCCACTGAGTCCTGATAGCCACTTGCTTGTGCGATGGGGTGAAGTTTAAATTCATTCAGTATTGTTTGTTTGAATCTTCCCATCGATTTTTTAGGACTGCAACTGGTCAGTCTCTAATTGGCATATGTGCATACTGTGCGTATTGCCTCGATGTACCTTAATTCACAAGCATGGTAAGCAGAGATGGATTTCTAAAATTTGAAGAACTTATGGAACTCAAAATAAGTGTCAACCAATACCAAAGTCACGATCTTCAATACCAGTGTCAAGACAGTTGGTTTTAGTGTACGGAGCTGAAACTCGAAGAACTACGACAATCATCATGAAACACGTACAAGTACTTATAAACAGTTATCTACGCAAGATATTAAATGTTCGTTGACCGGATACCATCACGACAAACCAACTTCGAGCTGAATAGGAAATTATGAAAAGACGTTGAGAGTGGATAGGACATCCATTGAGGAACTCACCAAACTACATCACGAAGCAAGCACTAATTTCGAATCGTGAAGGTAAACGGAAAAGTGGGAGGCCGAAGAACATACTGTGCCAGAACTATAAGCAGACATGAAAAGGATTAATAGGAACTGGAAAGGATTGCCCAGAACAAGATTGGATGGAGAGTGGTGGTGTGCGGCCTATGCTCCTGGGCGTGGTGTAACAGGCGTAAGTAAGTAAGCATGTAAGGAATAAGTTGTTAGGAGTATAAATAGTAAGAGAATTAATTATATGTTGCCTAATTTCTTTGGTCTGTCACTGTAAACATGTGTAAAAATAAAAACTCTGTTGTGAGATAGCAACTCGCTGAAGACAGTGGTAGACGTTGACGCGATTTCGTGGATGGGTTTAAGTTAGACATTAACATTGTTGAATGCCAGCTCAGTAGTCTAGAGGTTGAGCGTTCGCCAGCAAG